TTGTTTTTATCTCTCTAATAATTGTATTAATATATTCATAGAAAATAATTATATTAATATGTTGAAAATCAAACATAAACTAAACAAGTTTCCCCCCCTTTTTTTTATTTAAAGTTACCAAATTAATAAAAAAATTAAAAATTACAATTATATAATATAGCCTAAATTTCAATATAATTGGGTTAAAAAAAGTGCAACAACTAAAGTTATACCACAAATTGCCAAAAACTAAAATTAATTTTCAAATACCATCGACTTTGAGTTGACTTCAACTTGTGGTGAAGATATATACTAAAAATGGTGTGCCCAATCGACAGCCAAAGGTAAAATGCACTTTATAAAAATTTCCAGGTGCTGCAACCTGCTCGTTGGTTGGAATTCCAGTAATACTACTAGCAAAGACAAAATACTATATTAAGTACTTAAATTTATCTTAAATTTTTAATTAAATTCTTAAATTTTTATCAAAATAAATAAATTTTTGAACTTAGTACTTAGGTAATTTAACATTTTTTTTCCGGCAAACTTAATGTTCATTTACACATCACTAATGTAGATAAAGTATTAATATATTATTATTTATATGATAAGTGTTAATTTTATCTACTTAAGTAAAACACAAATATGCATTAAGTTCATCTTAAGAAAAAAAGTTAAATTATTTAAATTGTCAAATTCAAGGGTTTATTTGCTTTAATAAAATTTTAAAAATTTAACTGAGATTTTAGAATAAATTCAAGGGCTTAAAATACGTTTTGCCGCTAATAACGGTCTGTTTGGTTGGTATTGAGTAATATTAATAAGAGCATGGGGACTGCGTGTCGGTTGGGTTGACGGATTCAACGATCAACGATCAACAATCAACATTCAACATGAATAAATAATCAAATGTTGAAGGACAGACTCAAAACTCAGGCTTGACTCTACTGGGTGTTCCTAACCGTTTCTTTTTACTTTCTGGTCTTGACTCTTGACTAATAATTATAAATATATATATATTTTAGATCACCTAGTATCCGAAAGTTTACTGACTCATTGACTAATACAGATTTAAACCGGGTAAGACCCAATGAGCGACAAAACTCTTCCTCACAAGTTTTAACGGAACTGTATTCTCAGAACTTGAAACTAAAACCTTTTATTAAATTGAAAGAATCCCTTGCCAACTCATCCATCCGATCGTGGGTTAATTATAAACATACTTGTATTTTACTTCCTCTTCCTTTTTCTAAAAAGCTTTTAAATATTAAGGCGTGGTTTTTAGATACCGCATTGAGCTATGATATAGTTGTAGTTATAATTTTTTTTTTTGTAATAAACTATTATCAAATTAGTGTAAAAAGTCTCATGGAACTTGGACCAATTTGTGCTTGAATGTGTGATGTCTGACATAAACTAGTTCTATACAGAGGGGAGGTTGTTATTTGCACATTAGATTGTCAAAATCTACATGTTCTGTTTCAGGAGATGCACTATATGCATTGAGGACTTCATTGCATGCATCAGCCAATCAGTTGACAGATTGGAATCAAAATCAAGTTAACCCATGCACTTGGTCAAATGTTATTTGTGATAGTAACAATATGTAAAATCTGTGTAAGCGGTCTCCATTTTATTCTTTTTTCAAATTAATTTTTGATGCATGCTAATACCATTTTCTTATGGTATTTAGTCATCATTGCAATCTTAATGTCTTTATTTACTTTATTTTTTTTTTTACAAACAGATGCTTACACTACACTCTTGTTTGCAGAACATTATAATCCATGAACTTTTCTGGAACCTTGTCCCCTAGAATAGGAATTCTGAAGACTCTTACAACACTGTATGTATTGACTACATTGGAGCAAACAGTTCATTTTACAAATTTAAAGTTAATCATAGTATATCCTGTGTGTTCTACATGCAGTACACTGAAAGGAAGTGGTATAACTGGTGAGATACCAGAAGAGTTTGGAAACTTGTCAAGTTTGACCAGCTTGGATTTGGAAAATAATCATTTAAGTGGTGAAATACCACCTTCCCTTGGCAAACTTCAAAAGCTTCAGTTCTTGTAAGTCATAGTGTTGTTAGCTTCTAAAGTATGTTTTTGTAACTTTTTTTTCCTGTTTCCTCTTTCAATATTCATGAAAGGGTGTTCTTTTTTACCCTATACAAGCAGGACGTTAAGTCAAAACAATCTTACTGAGGCAATCCCTCAGTCACTTTCTGGTCTTCCAAACTTGATCAATCTGTTAGTCACAATATTTTATTAATTTCCAGTAAACTTGTTTAAATATCTATTACTTGACTTTTAGTAGAACTGTGAGTAAATTGCTCCAGCCTTCTGCAGTGTCTGTCCTTGACGCTGTTTAAGTTTTTGTATGACTTTTCATTTGGTCAAAACTCTTTGAAAAAATAATTCTATCATTTTCCTAACAATTCTCTCTCTCATTTTCATTTTCTCTTGTTTGCTTGGCACTTCTAGCCAGGTCCAATGAGTTTTATGTAGGTTGAGTGATTTATGCTATGAGCAAGGTTTTACTTAAATTTGTACAAGTGGCACAAATTTCCTTGCAGTTAGAATGATAAATATAAGTTGGTGATTTGTGGTTATAGGGTGCCTTTTGTAACCTTCTTGTAACCTTGAGATGCTATTTGAAGTTGATCCTCAGCTCATCATGTGGATGCTGACGTGCATTGTAAAATATGTCATTGTCTCATTGGTCTAATTTTAAAACTTTGGATTTTAT